GTAACGTTGAGATTAACAACTTCAAAGTTGAAAAAACCAATTTTACAGTTACAAACATAAAGTTTCAAGTTGAAATTAACAATTTTAATGTTGGGAAAGCCAAAATTAAAGTTTGGAAGGCCGTAAGTAAAAAGGTAGATCAACTTTGGACTCGCGTCTTTTACCTGTAAGTCACTCGACCAATTTTGAAAGATCCTTTCGCTGAATATTTGTGAGGTTTTTTATTGTTATCATATGAATTGTATTTCTTTATATTACAATGTTTACATAAAATATGGGATTTGTAGAAAAAATATTTTTTGTCATTTGAACATATGACAAACAGATCTAGGCGAAAATCTCTTTTTGCAAAAACATAAAAAATCATTACACTCGCAGACCGTGCAGCTTTAAGAATTACCATTTATCTATTCAATACCCACAATATCACATGGAATTTTGTTTAGCCGAGTTAACTTCTAATTAATTCCATCACAATTTAAATAATCGTTTTGTCTTTACACTTGGAATATTTCGAAAATATCATTTATTTTTCATCTTTCAAAGTCTCAAGCTTTCCCTGTCCCAATTTCATCAGAATTTGCAAAATTAGGCTGACGTTTTCCGGTTAAAAGTCAAACTTTATTTCATTGTCGGCTTAATCTTTGTTCCAATTTGCATTTTCTCGATGCACTTGGATTGACATATGTATCAATAAAATTGCCATATAATGCAGATAGATAATCATTGTTCCTCGAGACAAACCAAGAATTCGGCGTTTGTATAATAAAAAATAAAATTACCTATCTGATAGCGCTCAACACAGTTCGATGTCTCGCGACTGATGAAATCGTTCTACTGAGAATTCGACGTTAAGTGTTTTTTAGTTGAAGAAACCAAATACTGTGATTGATGCCCGTACAATGATGCCTTTTCATTATCTGCAATTTTGACTTCTATAGCGATGGTCTCTAATAGAATCTCCCTCAGTCGTTTAAATAATTTTCTGTTGATAATGAGTACCATTTAGGGAGAATATGACTTGATGTAAAGACATTAAGCAAACGCCGATCATCTTTATTATGGAAATAAAGAGCAAAAAAAGCTCCGACAACGGCGACCTGCATTCCATAGGCAGTGTACCAGAAAGGGCGCTATCGTAAAAACGCTTGCTCTATAGTACTAGCGCGACCTTGACAGAAAAACGAAGTTATAATTCTACAGAGCCTCCCTTTACAATATATCATTTTTTTTTCAAATTAATCAATTTTAAGTGATTTATGTTCTTTATTGAAGTACTGGTATGTGGATGAAATAATTCGAAGTAAACACTGAACAAACTGGACATATATCTGTTGAATTTTCAAAAACATTTTAAAGTTTATTTTATTATAATGATGGTACATACAATACAACTGAAAATATTTGTAAAAACCATTCAATTTCAAACTAATGCTTGTACATACATTACAAACAATAATCTCTCTCTCTCTCCCCAGAATTGCAGTTGGCTTAATCAGAGAGAGCAAGCCTAATGAACTATGAGATATACAAGATGAAATTATCGCAAATATAGCAGTCACATCATAACCAATCAAATTGTGGCCCGTGTGTTAAGTAAACTAATTTAAATGCTTGAGGTATGTCATACACAAAGACTAGAACCAAGTGTTATTGAAGAAAAGGAATACAAATTCAGGACAAGGGCACTGCAAGTTCTCAATATTCTTTCCGTTTAAAGTCGATTGAAATTTTCTCTAGGGAACGTACATGAACCGGAGACATCTGCAGGTATTAAGGTAAGACCTCCAAAACTATAATTAGATTTTTTTTTTACACCTGTATTTATCTTTGCTTTTTCACGATCTTGCAACACCTGCCAATAATTTAAATCTAATTCAAGAATTTAATACCTATCTTTTTTAATCAAAACTGTGTTGTTTTTTGCCTGACGATGCTTAAAATTCCCACAGTAATTAACTGTTTTTATGTAACCTAAGGCAACTTTTTTTAAGTGAGGCAATTTGTGTCTGAAAAGATTCGAGGTGTTCATATTTTATCAAATAAACAGATTTAAGAAGTAATTATGTACTAGTATTTTATGGAGGCTTTTCTTAAACAATTTATCGTTGCTGGCAAATCACGATTTTAATTTTTTTTATGTTCGTTCTTTTTTGTTTTTTATCAAACATTAACATTGTTTTAACAATTATTTTTCAATATAGTGTGGTTTCATCAATTTTCGTTGGCATTAATTTTCGTGGATTTTGTGAAACAGACGTTTTCGAGGACAAGTAATTTCGTGGACAAATGCATTGCCTATACAAATGAATATCATATTTCTTGATTCAATGAACATTTGAATTCGTGGATCTGGTCAACAATGAAATCCTTGAAAATTGGTGCTCAACGAATATTGATGAAACTACAGTATTACTTAAACAAAGGTAAAAAGAAATGCAGCATCTCCGATGAAAACTATGCTGGATTTATATTTATTTTAAATAGAGTTTTTATAATGATGCTCAACAGCTAGAGAAACAATTGAAAAACCCAATGGTGTTAACTATGGCAGTCAAGAAGATTTTTTTCGAACACCACTTCCCAAATATCTCTTAATCGCTGAATCAAGACATATACTTTAGAGGTTTAGCAGAAACTTGATAAGATGGTAATATCTTAATTTCCTTTCGTCGATTTCAAAAATAAGATATTTTTCCACTGCTGTTCAAACACTCTTGATAATATTACATGTAGTTAAGCGAAAAGGTTTCTTCTTCAAGAGAGATTTCTTTATTTTTGTTTTTAATGTTGATAACATCCCGTACTTTTTCTTGGGGCATTTAATGTGGGTTATATATATAGAGAATGCCAATTTTCGAACGTATAACAGATGGTCTACATTGTAGCTGATGTAACTTTATGGCATAATAACTTTTCGTTTAAAAAACGAAAGAAAATATCTTACTTTTTAATAACGAATATCTTATCGACAGCAGTCAATAAAGAAAAAATTCTTTGATTTTTTCCTAAGGTTATTAACCTTGATTTGATACAATCACTTCCTACTGCTTTGGTTTATCTGAATTCTCAAGGCTACCCACAAACTGCTATTAAATGGCTTTGGTTTACTTTTCTTTTTACTCCAGTTTCTCACGAATTTTCATTATATAACATTACCTACAGTGTAGCCAGCAAGTTTGTCATAATATTTACTGGTACACTAACGTTATCAATTAAAGTGCTCGTTATCATCACTGGGTGAAAGTGGTTTCCCATCACGGGAAACTTTATGGAAACCACATGGAAACCTCAAGTTTACATCATGTTTCCCAGTGGTTTCCGTAGCGGATGCTAGGTTATTCCGCCAAGTTTCCGTGACACGGAAACCCCCTACGCTCCGATTCCATAAGGTATCCCGAACCACGGAAACCTCTGTAAACCTGAAGTTTCCAGAACATCCATGTAGTTTCCTGTAATGGGAAACTCGAAGATTCCACTGGTTTCCAGAATCAGGAAACTTGATGGAATCGGAGCGTAGGGGGTTTCCGTGGAATGGAAACTTCTTTAGGTTTCCTTTTACTTGGCAAGCTCGGTCCTAAAGTTTCCACAACTCAGGAAACCATATGGAATCGGAGCGCAGTGGCTTGATGGAATCTTTAGGTTTCCTTATACGGGAAACTACATGGAAAAAGCGATTCCTGAAAGTTTCCTCGATGTTAAACCATATGGAATATGAGCGTAGTGGTTTCCGTGGAATGGAAACTTGATGGAATCTTAACGTTTTCTTTTATGGGAAACTACATGGAAGCTTGTGAAACCTTATGATTCCTGCAGTTTCCTTGACTCAGGAAACTATATGGAACTTGTGTAACACTTTCTGTGTGGCGGAAACTTGGTGGAATTATCTGGAGTCCCATTCCTGGTGGAAATAACTGGGAAACTTCAATCATTCCCTAACTTTTCTAAAGGAAGCAATGTGAAATAATGTGTATTCTTTTAAAAATCTATCAAAAAATTTATTACATGTAAAAGAAAAAAGCATTACCATTTTATATGTTTAATAATTCATTTGATGTACAAAAACTGTAACTGAATTTTTTGATATCAAAATATTAAATAAATCCATATATATCTTAGATAAACAATGGAACAGTCTTTCACATTTAAGTCCATTCATAAGGGTCATTAAGTACTTCTTTCAACATCAGTTTCCTGGTTTTCTTCACATCACCTTTGATCTGCAATATTCATACAAAATTATTATATGATGTCAGAATTATAATGCTTAAATATAACTTAGAAATCTGAAAGATCAGCCAATGTCCTTTAATATACCAATATCAATAATTACTTTCCATGACCATGATACATATGATTTCAGCATTTAATGTATCTCTTTAATATTTAATGCTTTATGATAAGTGAAAAAAAATTACATAAGGCCAAGCTTAAAAAATTCTTTGTTTGCAGTTGCCGACCTATAATTTTTAGTCTGAGTAGGTAGGTAGGCAATTTTTTTTTTTTTTTTGAAAAAAAAATATTTCCAGATCTTTGTTAGATAACATAAAATAAAGTTTTTCATAGACCTACTTTACATGAATAAGCTGCACTCTTGGTATGACTGATAAAGAAAAAAATTGAAAATGAAACAGTTTTAATATCCTGAAAAATTGGAGAGAAAAAAAATATTACAAAATGGTTTAAAAAAGTTTGGGTCGGGTGCATTTTCAGGGGGTCGGTCGGCTGCAAACAAACAATATTTTATTTTAGGCCTAATATAAATAATGTTTTCAGCCTTATTATGTCATTGAGAATATATTACTACATGTATCTCATACTAAGAACCCTGCTTTAAGTTTGATTAGTTTGAGAGAAAACATACTCTTTATAATAACCAAAATATTTGGGAGAGATTTTTTTTTATTTTGATATTCGACCTAGAAATTGGTTGAAGATCATTGCAGACCCTCCACGTAGTCCACCCCATTGCACAAAAGCTAGATTACACCAGGCAGGGGAGAAATATACTCTGGACTACGATTTTAAATAAAGATATACAGTAGATTTTGATACTGACCTTTGACCTAGAAATTTGGTCCAAGGACACTCTTCATCCACTATCCACAGGCTCTCTGTAGTTTAAGTTTGAGAGAGAAATATGCTCAGAACAAGTGATATCAGATGGAATGATGGGTAGACACTGTCTTAGGGCATCCACAGAACAGGACCTAAAAAAAGTGCAATATATATATATGTATTACAGTATAGAAACACATGTACTTGTATATTAATGACTTATCATATGCTGCATTGGACACATATGATTTTATCATGGTTAAAGTATACATGCATCTTATGAGTAATTTTATACCGGTATTGCATGTACGCTCAGTTTATTTAAGAAATAAATAACAAGTTTACAAACTTCAATGGGAGAGATACCACAAATGTATATATAAACAAGTAATTTGATTTTCTTTTTTTTTTTTACATATATTGTCCAACATTATTTACAATCCATTCATCATGTTCATAAATTGGCTGATCAAAATTCAGTCAGTTTTAGATCTATATGATATACCATAAAGGATTTTCACATTTACAAAAGTTATTCCCCTTCGCAGGGTCGATCTGGGGTCAACCGGCTTAAGACGCTGTTTTTGAGGGACAATATCTTAGAAATAAAATCAGTATGAACATATTCATTATGATTTTCATGTTGCCCCCATACTCTGCCAATACAGATACAGATTGTAATTGTCCAATATTTTTGAAGATTGAAAATATTAACCAGTAACTTACAAAGGACAAAGTGGGAAAAATGAGCGATACGCCAACAATTGGAGAAAACTCTTAGGAATGTGAAATTCGTCTTGCTGTTTTTTCATCCATATAACCTTTTAGTATCATAAAATTTACCAAAATTTAATACTTCAAACAATTTCATTGAATATCTTTAAAATAAAGGAAACTCTAAAAACCTAGTGACTTGCAGAAATTATTCCTTGGAGAGAAAAAAATCTATCATATTTCATATAAATATGTGCGTAATGAGCCTTTTTTATTCATTTAGAACATACGGTATGTGCCTCATTTCCCCAAGAAATTTTCAAAGACAATGGACTATCTGTAAGCAGAAATAATTGCTGTTTACTTACATTGGAAAAATTTATGAAAATAATTAATTTCCTATTTTTTTTATTTTAAATAATTCTTAGAATAATTTAATCTATTAAAAATAATCTATCTGACTGTAAAATAACATTTTTCATAATCTTAATCTATGGGCAGATCACTCTAACTTCATAAAACTAACTGATATTAAAGTAGAACTCTTTAGTGTGCAGTTTTTAGAGCTTCCTTTAAGTAATCAAAATACTGACCAGCAAGAAATCAGTTAATAAGCATTTCCTTTCTTTCATTCAAATTTTTGGAGAGATCTCAGAGTTTTTTCCTGTTCAATTCAGGTTCGAGACGACAAAGTTTTATTGAAGTGTATGTATTAGAGAACTGATTGTATGTCAATCATAGCAATACACACATAACATGGAGGGGGCAAATTGTTTTAGCCCTAGCTTTTACATAAAACTTCTTGTAGCTCACAGCTGATATACCACAGTTCAGTATTTAAATAAAATTTAGAATCTTTTTTTTCAGGCAATTGTCAAATACATACGAATCATGAATGAATTACCACTTACCAAATGACCACATCCTGAATCATCATACATTTTCTATGATTTTATCTCACTGGTTTTCTTTTAAAGTCACACAGTTTTCTTCTCTCTGAAATGATAAATTATGTCCAGGTACTATTGCATTCTAATTTAAACTAATTATGTAATAGCAGTAGCAACAACCAGAATGGAAGAGAAAATAACCAGAAGTCTCTGTCGAGACTGTAGCTCTACTGGTTTGTACTTATCAAAAACTGATGCACAGAATTATGTATCTTAGTATCTATAGTCTACTTGTGTGCCAAGTTATATTGAAATCAGACTAAAATTTAAGGAGTAGTGTTTGCAGACAGACGGACAGACGCCGGACGCTTTATTATCGCATAATTAAGCTCTACTGGTCAGAGACCAACAAAACAAGATGCGCTTGTGAAACACAGCAACAAAGTTCGAAAAAACAATTTTTTTAGCATACAGGTCACAGTCAAGATCACTGACACATAATCATTGTCCTTATTGCCCTTTGAAAGCACTTCATTAGTGGAGTATGCATACTAATTTAAAGTAAATATGAAGCCACTATCTCGACATATAGTTCTAAAGTTATGGTGAAGGTTTAAGTTGACAACAGACACTCAGACAGACACACAGATATACAGTTATGGCAAAAGTTTGAACATTATAACTTGGTATACACACAGCCACTTCGAGGTATCAAGGGTAAAATTCACAGCACAGTGGGACTGGCGGACTGCATTTTGACTTCGAGGGATCAAGGGTTTCGAAAGATCAGAAGTTCGAGAAATCAAGTGCAAATCTGCTTAGTTATATAGTGGAAAAAATCGGGACAAGAGACTCACTTCAAGCGAAAGAACTTCCGAGAAATCGAAGTTCAAGCCATCAAGAGTTACCTGTATATACAGATATAAGAAGCATGTTATTATTTGCAATTTTGACCTAATGACAGCTAAATCTGTTCGGTAAGACAATACCGTGTACATGTATGTAAGTAGTTTTATTGTGCATGATTATTTACTTATTTTCTTGATCTTCTCAACTTGAAGTGTTCTGTATTTTATTACCAAGTTTGTAATAAACATAATGAAACATTCCCTTTTCCACATCACATCCTGTATCAGACCTTCGACCAATATCAGCCCTAGGGTCTCTGTCCCTCTGGCTGAAATTGGTGTCTCGGGCTAGGATGCGATATGGAAAGGAGTATGTATTATTTGCTATACATTGACCTACTCAGGTCAATAATTGTGAAAAAACTGATAATTCAAGCTGATGATTCATTTGCATTTCATGACATACTATCAATATTAATTCACTATTACGATTTTCTTTTTTTACATCTTCATCTCAACAGGTTAGACATTACAAAAAAAAATCTTTTGAGCAGTAAACTATTTCAATAAACAACAAGAAAATTTTGATGTAACCATCAATTGTCGCCCGGGAAATTTTCAAAGTAAGGCCATTCCAAGTTTTTTCTATGTTTAGCGTCCGAGTGAGCCTTGGTTTTTGACACCCCATATGAGAAAAAACACACAACAACAGGAGTCCTGAAATTGATAAATTTAGTCGAAATTTGTTAATTTTGTAAATTTTTCCAAATAAATCTGTACAGTAAGTTATATTGGGTGTATTGTAAGCATTTAATCCGTTGTTTTTGCTTAAGAATAGATATTTCTTCTATTAAAGAAGTTTAGTTAGGTCAAATCATTTGAAGGACGTCATTTTTATGACTTTTAAGCTTGTATTAATTTTTTGTTTTGGTTTGTGTGTTTTTTTGTGAAAAGGTAGGTAGGTTTTGGAAAGATGAGTGGACGCTAAACAGAGAAAAAACTTGGAATGGCCTAAACAATGAAAATGAGCCTTGATGAAAATGAGTCTTGATCAGCAAACTGCTTCGATATGTGTAAAAAGGCATGCGTCTAATTGATGGAGACGATAGTCGCAAATATTTTTAAAAACTTGTAGTCGAATAAAATTCAATCAAAAACGATACCATTTTAAACTTGATCAATTCCTCAAGTAAATGTTGGCTGCATAAAATATAAATTTAAGTTAGACACACGCATCATTTATATTTAAAAATGTATTAATTTTCAATTTTAGAATATAAAACACGAACTAGCTGTGCAGAGTACGTTTTTATCCGAGAAGTAAAATTCGATATTCTGAAAAAAGGGACCTGTCGTTGTTTCGATAGTAAATGATAAGTAACTTTATATATCAAATATGAAAAACATATACATTTTTACAGATAAACTTTATGGAAGTAAATATATTATGTATCTCGTAATTTATAAACGGAACGAACATTCTGATTAACAATCTTTTCAATGTTTAGAAAACCTTTAATTCTATACATAACTACTCCCACACCAATCCCCATACACCAACACTTAAACTTATATGTATAGAGCAGCCCGGTCCTCCGGGCTGCAATAAAACAAACTTAATCTCTTCAGAAAAGAGGACAGGCTTTCACCTACATTCACTTTTTTATGTATATTAATTTTCCCTCCATATCATCGTCATGCATATGATTAGGGGTTATGCTATTCGCTATGTACAATCTGTTCTGATGAGGATATCCTTCATGAATAATCGGATAAGCTGAGATTGAAGACACTTTTTGTAAAAATATCGATGCTTTTATCAAAGTTTTGAACCAAAAATATTTAATTTATACCTTGCCATAAGTCGTAAGTTCCAAAAAAAAAACAAGAGTTGGCTCCCAAAAGTCAGAAAACACATGTGGTATTCAAACCGGATGTTATACAGTCTGAATTTAATTACGAAACCATGTTCGGTGTAACTATTATCATCCGGATAATTTGAGCGGGGTTTAAAATTTTTTTTTTTTAGTTCCGAAAAGTATTCATTATACCCGCACTTTCTAAAGAAAGTTCGGGTATATTGTTGTTACTCATGTCCGTCCGTCCGTCCGTCCGTCCGTCTGTCACACTTTTCTTCCCTGAACTCCTCCTACATTTTAAACAGTAGCTTAATCATCTTTTGGGAGATGGTTGGTGGGGTCATGTAGATGTGCAGTAAGGTTTCGGAATTTTGATATTGCCCCGGGGGGTCAAATGGGGGTCGAAAAATGACGTTTTTTGTGCAAAAAGCCCCGTCTTCCCTGAACTCCTTCTACATTTTACTCAGCAGCCTAATCACCTTTTGGGGGATGATTGGTGGTGTCATGTAGATGTGCAGTAAGGTTTCGGAATTTTGATTTTGCCCCAGGGGGTCAAATAGGGGTCAAAAAATGACGTTTTTTATGCAAAAAGCCCCATCTTCCCTGAACTCCTCTTACATTTTACTCAGCAGCCTTATCATCTTTTGGGGGATGATTGGTGGTGTCATGTAGATGTGCAGTAAGGTTTCGGAATTTTGATTTTGCCCCGGGGGGTCAAATGGGGGTCGAAAAATGATGTTTTTTATGCAAAAAGCCCCGTCTTCCCTGAACTCCTTCTACATTTTACACAGTAGCCTAATCATCTTTTGGGAGATGGTTGGTTGGGTCATGTAGATGTGCAGTAAGGTTTTGGAATTTTGATTTTGCCCTGGGGGGTCAATTGGGGGTCGAAAAATGACGTTTTTTATGCTAAAAGCCCCGTCTTCTCTGAACTTCTCTTACATTTTACTCAGCAGCCTTATCATTTTTTGGGGGATGATTGGTGTTGTCACGTAGATGTGCAGTAAGGTTTCGGATTTTTGATTTTGCCCCAGGGGGTCAAATGGGGGTCGAAAAATGACGTTTTTTATGCAAAAAGCCCCATCTTCCCTGAACTCCTTCTACATTTTACACAGTAGCTTAATCATCTTTTGGGAGATGGTTGGTGGTGTCATGTAGATATGCAGTAAGGTTTCGGAATTTAGATTTTGCCCCGGGGGGTCAAATGGGGGTTGAAAAATGACGTTTTTTGTGCAAAAAGTCCCGTCTTCCCTGAACTCCTTCTACATTTTACACAGCAGCCTAATCACCTTTTGGGGGATGATTGGTGGTGTCATGTAGATGTGCAGTAAGGTTTCGGAATTTTGATTTTGCCCCAGGGGGTCAAATGGGGGTCGAAAAATGACGTTATTTATGCAAAAAGCCCCATCTTCCCTGAACTCCTCTTACATTTTACTCAGCAGCCTTATCATCTTTTGGGGGATGATTGGTGTTGTCATGTAGATGTGCAGTAAGGATTCGGAATTTTGATTTTGCCCCGGGGGGTCAAATGGGGGTCGAAAAATGATGTTTTTTATGCAAAAAGCCCCGTCTTCCCTGAACTCCTTCTACATTTTACACAGTAGCCTAATCATCTTTTGGGAGATGGTTGGTTGGATCATGTAGATGTGCAGTAAGGTTTCTGAATTTAGATTTTGCCCCGGGGGGTCAAATTGGGGTGGAAAAATGACGTTTTTTATACAAAAAGCCCCGTTTTCCCTGAACTCCTCTTACATTTTACTCAGCAGCCTATTCATCTTTTGAGAGATGGTTGGTGGGGTCATGTAGATGTGCAGTAAGGTTTCGGAATTTTTATTTTGCCCTGGGGGGTCAAATGGGGGTCAAAAAATGACATTTTTTATGCAAAAAGCCCCGTCTTCCCTGAACTTCTCCTACATTTTACACAGTAGCCTAATCATCTGTTGGGAGATGGTTGGTGGTGTCAGGTAGATGTGCAGTAAGGTTTTGGAATTAAGATTTTGCCCTGGGGGGTCAAATATGGGTCGAAAAATGACGTTTTTTGTGAAAAAAGCCCTGTCTTCCCTGAAGTCTTCCTTAATGTTACTCAGAAGCCTAATCATCTTTTAGGAGAGTTAAATATTTTGAAAATTATGTAAAACATCAACGTCAAGGGGTAAAAAAAGTACGTAAGGGTTGCCCGCAACCCTGTGTCTCGCCTGCTGTCGCTGTGGTTAGTAAGAAATGATTGTCTGATAAACTGAAGCATTATACAAAAATATCTGTAAAAGAATGGAAACAATCCTGAAATACAATAATAAAGAAATGGAACAGCTGACTTAATATCTAATCCCTTGGCGATTATATTGGCATTTATATATATATACATATACCCTGTAAATTCACAAATTATTGTGATGTTTTTATTATTGCGAATATTGCAACGTGTTATGAGTCGCAATAATTTGAACTTGCATTTTGAAATCAAATCCACTGTATATGTATCAAGTCATTCATGCAGAAAATGTAGGTGAAGATTACCTAATTATGGTACTGATATTGTTGGTTACCCATGATGTGTAGACTGACAAATTATCATGCCACTATAAGTTATAGTTGCTGAGATATGGACCTCCACCATAAATTTATGCAAAGTCACTCATGCGGAAAAATGTAGGTCAAGATGACCTAATTCTGGTACAGGCGTTTGTGGTTACCCATGATGTATCCACTGACAAATTATCATGCCACTATAAGTTATAGTTGCTGAGATATGGACCTCCACCATAAATTTATGCAAAGTCACTCATGCGGAAAAATGTAGGTCAAGATGACCTAATTCTGGTACAGGCGTTTGTGGTTACCCATGATGTATCCACTGACTAACTATCATGCCACTATAAGTTATAGTTGCTGAAATATGAACCTCCATTATCAATTTAACCAAAGTCATTCATGCAGAAAAATGTAGGTCAAAATGACCTAATTCTGGTACTGATGTTGTTGGTTACTTATAACCTGTACAATGACAAATCATCATGCCATTATAAGTTATAGATGCTGAGATATGGACCTCCACCAAAAATTTAACCAAAGTCACTCATGCAGAAAAATGTAGGTCAAGATGACCTAATTCTGGTACTGACGTTTGTGGTTACCCATGATGTATCCACTGACTAATTATCATATCCCTATAACTTATAGTTGCTGGAATATAGGTCTTCACCATAAATTATCATGAAAAAACTAAGTCCAACTTAAGGAAAAAATACGGAAAAATTTGAATTTTTTTTTTCAAAATCATACTTGGGATATAAATTTTTATCCATACTGAATATTGTGTCCAAATTTCAAGAAGACTGAATAAAATTTGAGAAAGTTATTGCAGTTTATAAAACTTTGACATTTGGGTTAACCAAAAGTTGGACGCCGACGACGACGACGACGACGACGGAATCTATGGTCGCTATGTCTCGCTTCGCGACATTCGTCGCAGGCGAGACAAAAAAGCATCACATGCTGGGAAACACCTTGAATTCTTATGAGTAATTAATGTATATGTCAAATGTGAGAGTCATATCTCATCTCAATCAAAAGTTATAAGCAAATGCAACATTTTTGAAAAGTAGAGGCTTGACCTCTTCAAGGTCAAGGTCACAGAGTAAAAATCATGATTTATTTGGAAAGGTCTTATCACAGGTAATAATATACATGCATTATGATATGAATGCCCTAACTTTTCTCCTTCAAAATGATGAATTTATAACAATTTAATTTTTTTGCAAGTAGGTCAAACTTCTAGGTCACAGGTAAAAAAAAACAAGATTTGTTTGTGAAACACTACGCGCCCGGCGGCAACAAAGTTCAAAAAATCTATTTTTAGCATATTGATCACAGTCAAGGTCACAAGGTCATTGACCATGGTGTCATTCGAAAGAACTTAATCAATGGAGTATGCATACCAAATATGAAGTCTCTATCTCCTATGGTTCAAAAGTTATGGCAAAAAGTGTAAAGAGCTATTTTTAGCATATAGGTCACAGTCAAGATAACAAGATCATTGACCTTGCCGTCGTTTGAAAGGACTTTATCGATATCGTATGCATACCAAATATGAAGTTCCTATCTCCTATGGTTAAAAAGTTATAAAGTGTAAAAAGCTATTTTTAGCATATAGGTCACAGTCAAGGTTGCAAGATCATTGACCTTGATGTTGTTAAAGGATTCTATTAGTGGAGTATGCATACCAAATATGAAGTCTCTATCTCCTATGGTTAAAAAGTTATGACAAACAGTGGAAAAAGCTATTTTAAGCATATAGGTCACAGTCAAGGTCACAAGGTCAATGTCATTTGAAGTACTTGATAAGTGAAGTATGCATACCAAATATGAAGTCTGTATCTCTTATTGTTCAAAAGTTATGGCCAAGGTTAAAGTTGACAACAGACAGACAGACAAACAGATAAACAGACAAACAGACAAACAGACAGGACAAAAACAATATACGCCCGGGATCTATCGATCCGGGCGCATAAAAAAACCATGCCATTCTCACAGGTAAATACTAATACATAAGTTTAATATTCAGTAGATATGACCGTGATGACCAAGGTTAAATTTATTGAGACAGATGGACAGTCTGACATACAAATATACATATTTCTATATGAATTGGGTAAAATTGGCCCAGTGGTTCTAGAGAAGTTAAAAATGTAAAAAGTTTTCAGACAAACAGATGGACGACACGTCACGACAGACGTTACATGTTAAGGAAACCAGAAAAGCTCAAATGAGTGTTTTGAAAGGGTTAGAATATGGTTGCAGTATTTGAAAAGCTGTTTTTTTCATGCAGAGATATACATGACCAACATATTCATGTTTTATATTTTCTTTAGTAATTTGTTTGTTTGTTGTGAATACATCTCTCTTGGGAATTTTTCCCTCATATGGAGACACCACCAAATAATAATGAAGACAAGATGTGTTTGTGAAACACTGATGTCCCTGTATGGAAGCCTATGGCGAAGGTTGAAGTTTCTCAAATATATGTCAAACTCAAAGTTCAAGGTCAAAGGATTCAAATTGTTAGTATCAGAAG